CCCGCCGCCGCTCGCCGGGCCGGCCGCAGCTCGAGCGCCCCGGGCCTCCGCGCTCGCCCCTGACGACGCTCTCGCTCCCGGTGCCGGCCCCGGCAGGGGGGGGGGGGGGGGGGGGGGGGGGGGGGGGAAGGCCGGAAGCAGGAGCCGCGAGCCGCCAGCTGCCGGGTGCGCATGCGCCCGCCGGACCCGGGGGGGGGGACCCGGAAAGGGAAAAATCACCACGAAGGACTGCGCACGCGCCGAGGTGCCGAGGACGGTAGTGCGCCGGCGCCCGTGCCAAGCGCCGCGATCTCTGGGCGGGGTCAGACGGGGTCGAGGGAGGAGCAATCCCGGCTAGGAATAGGGAGGGACGGGGAGAGAAAAGGCACCCAAAGCGCCTGCGCGTACGGGGCCAAGAGGATAGGTGGCCGGGGAGAAACTGTTGGGTAGGGAGTAAGTCCCGCCCCTGAAACCAAGGAGCTGAGGCCTGTCACTCAACTTGGAGGAAGCAGTCAGTCAACGAGCATTTAAGAAGCGGTAGCTACGCGGCTGGCGCTCTGCTAAGCGCTGGGGACAAAAAGGCAAAAATACTACGGACCCTGCCCTCAGGGAGCTTACACTCTGACGGGGGGGGGGAACGATATGCGAACAACTGCGTACATACAGGATATATGTCAACGGAGTCAGGAAGACCCGAGATAGGAGCACTAGGATTCGCTCGGGACAAGTCTTGTGTGGGCCTCATCTGTAAAATGGGGATGACTGTAGCGCCAGGCACAAAGAATAGCTGTGAGGATTAAATGAGATATGAATTGTGTAATGAATTGCTAGCTGTGATAAAGTTTCTTTGTATGTCAAATTAGAGGTTCAGAGCTAGACCAGTTGCCCTTCCGAGGTCTTTTCTACATTCAGTTCGCTGAAGCTATAAGATAAAAAGCGGCAGGAGCCGAGAATTAGGCGCATGCGTAGATGCTGAAAACCTGGGCTCAGACGGCTTGGGGGTGGGGACCAGGAAAGCAACGGCACCACGGCAGGGCTGCTGGAACGCATGCGCAAGGCCGAGGTAGAGGACGCACTGGGGCCGAGGGGCGGAGCTTAAACGAGAGTCGGATGACCATTGGGTTACAGGGAAGAACTGACATGTGGCTTCGCCAATGGGATAGCCTTCAGGAAGAAGCGCCAGGACGTATAAGATTACAGGGTAGGGGTAGGAGGGCGGTACTCCCTACGGCCCGCCTCATTCTGTAGCCCGGAGGGGTGGGTGACGTCACTGGGATGAGCCCGCCGGCGTCGCCTCCGTTTTTAGGTCACGGTCCAGACCCGGCTAGTGCCTGGGCCGAAAGTTCCTGGAGCAGACAGAAGTAGGAGAGTGCAGATGGTGTCGGCTTTCTTAAAGAGACAGGCACTCCTCCGCGGAGCAGAGGCGGCGGCGGCGGCGGCCAATGCCGCCTCGGCCCCTTCTCCGAAAGCTCGGAGGAGCCCGGTAAAAGGGCTAGAGCGGCGCCGGGGGCGCGGAGGGGCGCTCGCTCGGGCCCGGCCGTCGCCAGCGCGCGGGCGCGCCCTCGCTCCTCCCCCGCCTCAGTTTCCCCCTGGGTCCCCCGGGCGGGCGGCTCAAGGCGAGGGGCGCCCGCGCGGGGCTCCCGGGGGTGGGCGCGGGGCTCGGGGTCCCCTGGCCGGGGCCGTCCCGCGGGGCCAGCGTCATCTGATGCTGTTTCCTGCAGGAGGGAGAAGAGCGGAAAAAAGCGAAACTCCTCCCCCGCCGCCGCCGCCTCCCGCCCCGGGGCCAAAGTACAAAGAGACCTCGGGAGGGAGGAAGGAGGGAGCGCGGCAGGGGCGCGGAGGAGGAGCAGAGCCAGCGCCAGGGTCCCGCCGCAGCGCCCCCCCCCATGGTCCCGAGGCGGCGCCCCCGGGGTCCCCGGGCGCCCCGCCCCTGAGCTGGCCCGAGCCCCCCCCCGGGGGCGGCCCGCCTCCCGAACCCCGCGATGAGGGGGGGCGGCGGGGAGCCCGAGCCCCGGGACCGCGCCGCTCGCCTCTCTGGGCCTCGGTTTCCCCATCTGTTACAATGAGGCGCCTGCTCTAGCCCAATGAGCCTATGAGCGTGGCCCCCCCCAGAATGGAGCCCCTGAAGAACTTGCTCCTCAAGAGCCCTCTGGGCACCTGGAACGGAGGGGGGCGGGCCGAGGGCGCCCCCAAGACCGCCTACTCCAACCCCGTGTGGACAGCGCTGTTTGACTACGAGGCCAGCGGCCACGACGAGCTGACCCTGCGCAAGGGCGACCGGGTGGAGGTGCTGTCCCGGGACGCGGCCATCTCCGGGGACGAGGGCTGGTGGGCAGGCAAGGTGGGCGACCAGGTGGGCATCTTCCCCTCCAACTACGTGTCCCGGGGCAGTCCTCCGCAGCCCGAGGTGGCCCGCTTCCAGGAGCTGCGCCTGGAAGAGGTGATCGGAGTGGGGGGCTTCGGGAAGGTGTACCGGGGCAGCTGGAGAGGCGAGCTGGTGGCGGTCAAGGCTGCCCGCCAGGACCCCGACGAGGACATCAGCGTGACTGCCGAAAGCGTCCGCCAAGAGGCTCGCCTCTTTGCCATGCTGGCGCACCCCAACATCATCGCGCTCAAGGCGGTCTGCCTGGAGGAGCCCAACCTGTGCCTGGTGATGGAGTATGCCGCTGGAGGGCCCCTCAGCCGGGCGCTGGCTGGCCGCCGGGTGCCCCCTCACGTGTTGGTCAACTGGGGGGTGCAGATAGCCAGGGGGATGCACTACCTGCACTGTGAGGCTCTTGTGCCTGTCATCCACCGGGACCTCAAGTCCAACAACAGTGAGTAACCAGCCTTCCTGTCCGGGCCCCTTCCCAGACATCCCCCAGCCGGCTCTCCAAGCCCTGATCCGAGGACTGGCCGGCAGTTAGGAGTGGGGAAGGATACCTGGACCCCTCAGAAGCCAGCGGCTTTCTCTAAATCTTGTTCCCTGAGAAAACAGTTGGAAGGAAGATGGCTGGGGCTCGGGGCTCCTACAGCTCAGCTGCCGGGTGGTGGGCTGCTAGGAACTGTAGCTCCCCTTCCTTTCTTTTGAGGGGTAATGTTCCATATAAGGTAAGTGGGGGCCCCAGCAGAAGAGAAAACTGAGGCAGAGAGAGGGGAAATGACTTTCGCAGGGCCACTCTGGACTTCACTCATTTGACTCCAAACCTCGAGATATTTCCAGGCTTGAAGCCTGGTTCCAGAAACAGGCTTCTCACCCCACCCCACCCTAGGCATAAGATCAGAGAATGTCCAAGCTGGAGGAGCCCTTACATCACATGGAATCCAACCCCCTCCTCTTACATCAGAAGAAACTGAGGCCTCGAGAGAGAGGAAGGGACTGGCAGGCATCCTAGGGGTGGCCAGGGGCCTTGGCGACAAGACTGGTGCTATCCTGGAAGTGTTGGACCAGAGCTGACAGTCTGTCTGAGAAACCTAGCCTTCCCTTCTCAACTAGGACCACTTAAGACTTAGGGAAGCACCTCCCTCCCCACTGACACCAGCAAACACCAACCTGGAGTACTGCTACCCCAGCCAAAGGCAGGGCCTTGAACATAGTAGGGGCTTAAATCAGTATTTGTTTCTTTGGATAGTGCAGCTTATGCCCAAAAGTCTGTGTCTAACTGTGGCTTTTGGAGGCTTTGTGAAAGAGACAATAGGCTCTCTTAGGCATTGAAAGAGAGATCCTGGTGCAGCCTCATCCATCTTTCTCTCCCCTCCAGGAAGCTTCCTCTGACCACCTCAATGCCCAGTGCTTCCTCCCTCCCTCCTCCCACCTCCCGAGCCCATCCCTGTCTTGTGGCACCCATCATGTCTGTCCTGATGACCGTTAGCTGCCTAGGTCTGGTCTTCCTTGCTATACTCTTTACTCCTAGAGGGCAAGAAACTGGTCCGTTCCCCCTCTGCCTTCCCACCAGGTGCCCAGTATAAAGGAGCAATTGTTTCTTGAATGTATATTTTCACGTTTTCCCCTGAAAATTGTTTCTAAGGGCACTGGACCGGAAGGCAGGAGAATAAAGTCTTTGTCCCACTTTGCCAGTGATGTGCTATGAGACCTCAGGGAGGTCACTTTGCCTCTCTGGGCTCTAGTTTCCTCAGCTGTACAGGAGTTTAGATTCAGTGATTACGGAGGTCTGGCCCTGCCAGTGCTGAAAGTCTGGACTTCTGAGGCCCCGTGCTGGGGCATGCCCTCAGTCTACCTGGGGACAGATGATGAACCACATATGGGGCAGTGTGGAAGTGTGCTGTGTGTGGCTGGCCCTGACCCTTCGTCCATCTGGGGAAGGGGCCCACACAGCCAAGGAAGCCTTCTTAGAGGAAGAAGGGCTCGAGGTGGGACCCAGAAGGAGAAAGGGTAGAACGTTTCAGACAGCAAAGGCGAGGAAGGTGAGGAGTCGTCTGGACCCCGGCTCAGGGCTGAGATTGAGGAGTTGGGCAGGTAGCGGAGGCGGCCCCTTGGCCTTCCCAAGCCCCGGGGAAGCTCAGGGCTGGGGACTCGGGTCTGTAGGGAGTTCTGGGCCCTTCTCTCCTGGAGGGGGGAAACTCATCATCACTACATCGGGGGAAACTCATCATCACTACATCAGGAGAAAGCAGAGAGAGGTGGGCCCCTGCTCAGTGCTTTGGGGAAAGCAGAGACTCCCAAGTCAGGCCTTGCATTCAGGCCCCACTAACCGCAGGTGACTTGGGTCATCGAATCTCTCTGAGCCTCAGTTTCCCCTTGGTCAAAGGAGAGGCCAAGACCAGACGATGTCCCAGGTCCCTTTCGGCTCCAGCTCTCTGTGTCTCTGCTGGGCCCAGAGCTTCTGGCCTTCCCCACTTCTGGCTTCTTAGGCTGGGGGAAGGAGTCCATGGACACCGGGAAGGGCCCCCATTCCCCCAGAGCCCAGGCAGGGTGCGCCCCCAACCCTGCGCCCTGCCAGGAGGGGGGATTCCCCTGCAGGCTGGACCCCTGGCTGGGGGGAGGGGACTCCTGGCTTCTGTTTTTCCTCCCTTCTCTTTAGAGAGAAAATGGAACAATAGCCTGAGCCCCTGCTCCCCACCCTCCCTGCTACTTCCTGCATTTCCTGAACGGGCTTCCTGTCCCTGCCCTGGCCTCCTCTCTCCCTTTCCCTCTCCCTCTCCAGGCCCAGCTGGCTGCGGGGGTGGTTGGACTGGGGGGAGAGCTGGGGGCAGCCCCCCCTGGCCAAACCCCCTCTGGATGGGATGCTGAGCTCTGATTTGGCTCCTGTAACCTAGGCACCTTGGGCCTCTGGCCTCCCAGAGCTTAGGCATCCTGCCTCCTTCGAGACTCTCTCCAGTCCTGAGTGCATGGGGGGGGGGATCCCTATCCCGGGGGTGGGGGGCCATGGCAGAAAACAATGGGCTGATTTTCCTGTAGTGGCCTGGACAATGGGGTCCTTGTGAGCTTTGGCTGGGGGAGAGGAGGGAGGGAATTCTCTAGGCCCACGAGTCACAGGACTAGCTCTCCGGGGCTGCCCCAACCCAGGCCAGCCCTGCCCCCCTCACCCCCTGACTTTCCTGACTGAGGTTGCTTAGAAAGGGGAAGCCGGGGGGACCAGGAAGGGAACGGGAAGAAGTCTGGACAGGGCTGAGGGACGGAGGTAGGCAGCCATGGGGGCCAACTGGGGCTAAGTCCAAGGATCTGGAAACAGCAAAGAACTGAGCCGGGCCTTTGGGCTGAGCTGCGTGAGCCAGGGCCATGAGACCCCTCAGGGAAGCCCAGAAAGACAGGAAATAGAGACGTCTGAGCCTGGCAGGCCACTTCCCTCTACAGCCCAGCTGGCTGGATTGGGGCTCAGGACACAGCTTCGAATGCTGTGCAGCCTAGGACTAACCACGTCTCTCTGGGCCTCAGTTTCCTCATCTGTCAGTTCAATGAGAATTTTATTAAGTGCCTCCTCGGTGCCAGGCCCTGGGGCTAACGAGACAGAAAATGAAATGATTCTTGGCCTCAAAGAACTTACATTCCACCAGGGAAACTGGTCTCCGAGGGCCAGTCCAGCTCCATGTTCTTTAACTGACATTTCCCTGCTGCCTTGGAATCAGCCCAGGACTGCTGGGCAGGAGCTCAGCGATGGGGGGCATGAAGGGCACCTGCCCGCCATGCCAGCTCTGCCACTCTGGGGACTGGAACTGGAAGGCGCCTTCAAGGCCGTTTCTTCTGGGTCCCTCTGGACGTGCTCATCGCCCCGCCCAGCTTTGGGACCAGTCCGGACTCTGCTTTGCGTGACCTTAGGAGAGGCCCCCGATTTGTCTGGGCCTCAGCTGCTGCCCAGCCCTCTCTGCTTTTTTATTTTTGGGGGGGGGATTGGAGTTAAGTGACTTGCCCAGGGTCACACGGCTAGTAAGTGTTTGAGGCTGAACTTGAACTCAGATCCTGACTCCGTTGAGCCACCTAGCTTTTCCAGCCTTCGCTGCTTTTGAGACAGGATGGGAAGCCCACCAGGAAACTTAGAAGCACCTCCCTTCCAGGTGGTGCCAGCCAGAAGGAATGATGTGATAGGCAAGAGGAGCTCCTGGGCTCCTAGGTCCTTTACAGATGAAGAAACTGAGGCCCAGGGAGAAGGGATGGGCCCAAAGTTGCTAGAGTAGGGAGCATCCAAGATGGGATTTGAACTCTGAGCCAGGGCTCCTCCCACAGTACCTGGCTGTCTCTCCAAAGTTTAAGGCAACAGCCTGAGGGTGGGGCTGAGGCCAAGGAGGAAACAGGAAATGAAGTGAACTAGAGGCAGAAAGGAATCCCCCCCTTAGCTTCCCCCCCTTCCCTTCCCTTGGGCCTGGTTTCACCGGACAGCACAGGGCTTGGGGTCAGGGAAGCCTGGGTTCAAATTCCTTGGGAGACCCGCCCTCACTGGGGCTCAGCCCTGGGCAGGTTACTGCCCACGGAGCGGAGCTGCAGTTCTGTCTTCCATAAAACGGGAACCAGTCACAGCAGCCCCCACGGCCCAGGGCTGTCGGCAGACTCCTGGAGATCACGTGCCCAAGTTCTTTGGGAACCTGATGGCTCTAAAGAAATGTCCCGGGTTTTTGGGGACAGGAAAAGGCGTTTATTGAATGCCTGCTGTGTGCTAGGCACTGTGCTGAGCTCTTTACAAATATCTCACTTGAGTCTTGAAACAACCCTATGAGGGAGGTGTAATTATCATCCCCATTGTATAGGTTAGGAGACTGAGGCACATAGAAGTTCAGCGATTTTCCTGGTGTCACAGCTAGTAAGCCTCTGAGACAGAATTTGAATTCCAGTCTTCCTGCCTGGCCCACCTAGCTGCCTGGCTGTAAAGCCTTTGGGGACCACCTACTTCATACCTCCCTCTGTCCGTCCGTACCCCCCCCCATTTTACAGATAGGAAAACTGAGGCCCAGAAAGGGACTTTGGGCACTTGTCCAGGGTCACGCTAGTACGTACCAGAGGTGAGATCAAAGGTTGGCTTCTCTGACTCGGGGCCGGTGCTCTTTCCACAATTAAATAAAAACCGGGGAGTGGTAGGGGCTAAGAAGAAATCAAAAACTATGTACCCTAGGATAGTCTGAGAAAAAAGAACGCAAACAGCCAGAGGGGTCTCCAGGGCTCAGAGAAGATGTCATGCAGGAGCCCAGAAGGGAAACGGGGCATTGAGAGGGCAGAGGTGAGGAGAGTGTGCATGCCAGGCATGGAGGACTGGCGGAGGCAAATGCTTGGAGGTAGGAGATGGTCCAGTTTGGGGTGAAGGTGACGTCAGACTAGACAGGGGTGATTGGAGCCAGACTGTGAAGCGCTGTCCCTGTGTTTTCTCCCAGGGTCCCTAGGGAGCCACAGAGGGTTTTTTTGAGCAGGGTAGTAGTAGTAGCGGTCAGACCATGAGAAGCCTTGTGGTGGCCACCCAAGCTGTTTGCTTGCCTGGGTGACTAGTCGCGGTGTCTGCCTCAGTGGGCGTCCCGGAATCTGACACCTATCCCATCCTCAGACAAAACCCTCTGTGCACCACCATGCCAGGTGGGTGGGCGTCCTGCCTCCGCTCCGCGCTCTGAGGTCTGCTGGGAAAAGGACAGGGGTGCGCTCTGGGGACCTTTGCCCGCTCACAGGGCTCTCCTCTCGCCCCAGTCCTGCTGCTGCAGCCTGTGGAGGGGGACGACGTGGAGCACAAGACGCTGAAGATCACCGATTTCGGCCTGGCCCGCGAGTGGCACAAGACGACCCAGATGAGTGCCGCGGGCACCTACGCCTGGATGGCGCCTGAAGTCATCAAGGCCTCCACCTTCTCCAAGGGCAGCGACGTCTGGAGGTCCGAGAGCCTTGACCGCGGGAGGGGGAGGGGGGTGCCCACAGGGTCGGGGACTGACTCGGGCTTCTCTGACCTGCAGCTTTGGGGTGCTGCTGTGGGAGCTGCTGACCGGGGAAGTGCCTTACCGCGGCATCGACGGCCTGGCCGTGGCCTACGGAGTTGCCGTGAACAAGCTCACCCTGCCCATCCCCTCCACCTGCCCGGAGCCCTTTGCTCAGCTCATGGCCGGTAAGGAAGCCAAGCATGCGGGGTGCTGGGGAGGGCTTGGGGGCGGGGCAGGGAGATGCAGAGACAGCCCCCCATCCTCTCCTCCCATTTGCTCCTTCCCCCAAGACTGCTGGGCGCAGGACCCCCACCGCCGGCCAGACTTCTCAGCCATCCTGCAGCAGCTCTCAGCCTTGGAAGCCCAGGTGCTGAGGGAGATGCCCCGAGACTCCTTCCACTCCATGCAGGACGGCTGGAAGCGGGAGATTCAAGGTCTCTTCGATGAGATCCGGGCAAAGGAAAAGGTGCTGGCTCCCTGGGCCCTGGGAAGGGATGGGAGCACTGAGAGCAGAGCCAGGATATGAACCCAACTCTTATCTCCAAGTCCAGTGTGTTTTCTCCTTGTCTTACAAGATGGGGCTGGGGGGGGGGGCAGGACACCTGGGTCCCTAGAAAGGAGGCCACTGGGGGAGACTAGGAGTGCAGGTGATTGGCAAGGACAGGGTGTCTGGCCCCAGGACGGGCTGCCTGTGTCGCCACAGCTAAGCAGATCTGGAGAGGCAGCTGGGTGTCCAGAATGCCTGGCTCCTCAGAAGGGAGGAGACTAGGGGAGCCCCTGGGCCAGGGTGGGCAGGAAGCCTAGGGGGAGAACCCTTGGGTCCCCGGAGTCAAACGGGCAGGATGTTGCCTTTGCTGTTTGACTTCTGGTGTGACAGTGGTTGGGCTGGCCACCCTGAGCGTTTGCTTCCTCTGCTAGAAAACGAGGAGGGAGCAGCCAGCGGCTCTTCTAGCTTTCCATCTGTGAGCCTGGGTGGGAGTAGGGGAGCGAGAGGACTTGGAAGGGCTCCAGGGCCCCAGAGAAGGAGGAGGGGGTGCCTGGGGGCGGGGGCACCCCCTGAGGGTGGGGCTCTTTCCTGGGGGCAGGGCTACCCGGTCCTGAGCAGCTCCTGGGGG